CGGCTTATCTGACGGCCCCATTTCACTCGCAAAGAGATACACTGTCAAAAGTAAAAATGTCCATGACTAGGTATTTGCATTTCAATATCCCCTACTTTTTTTTGAAGAGTATATTATAGTCATTCGTTGGAATCGTGCTGTTCGTATCGAAACGTATCCGAACGTATCGGCACTTACACGATCGTGGACCCAATCGGGACTATCCTGTTGCAACGCATGGAACGACAGTGGGAACTTGGCATTAAATAACAGTTAATTACGTCCCTTGGGTTGACACTATCTATACATTATTGAAAAGCTTAATCAATGACCGGTTAAATGTAATATGTACATGTATAGATAAATCAAGTCCAAAGTAAAAATACTTGAGCACCCTATCGACTATTTCATTGGTGTGACATTTCCTACAAGCCTGACATCGTAACCACGCGGGCTGACAAGGAAAGCTGTCTAGTCGTTCGGATGGGACGAAAAACCGAGGTCCCGTGTACACATTGGCGTGCACGTAAAAGATCCCTTGGCAGTTGGAATTCGATATAAGAGTAGGCCGTAGTGCCGCTGTCAGGGCAAAATTTCCCTCATAGCACACTGTATGGCGTATGCCCGTCTTCATTAGCCCAGGTTAGGAGCAGAAAAGTAGGACGTTAAACTCCATTTCATTTCATTTCATTTCGTAACCACGCCACCCTACTCGTCTTAGTGCTTCGATTGTGTGTAACACGAAATGCAGAGAGACAGATTGAAAATGAACTTGAACTTTATTACAGGCGAAGCAAAAAGTTTGCTGTAGCCAAACCAAAACATGTATACAAATATAAATAATATACATTGATAATTAATAAAAGTATGAATAACAATAGAGTGTAAATACCCAATCGCCCCCTTAGTGCAAATTCACATAACTACCCTTAATAGATAATTTAATAAATCGGAACAATTACTATTTTGATACTCCCACCGCACCCCAATCCCACCAATAGTCTGTTACCCCATTCAAATTCAGATATTTACTGAATAAAAATATTGTTGATAAAAAAAGTGCCGACCACATACCACGTATGTTGACCTCGCACGGTTAGTTGCAAGTACATACAACTACTTTAACTGGAATTTTATAGGGCTTATGTCGAGTGCGACCGTATGCAACTGACCCCGATGCTACCAAAATTGTCAGGAACCACATAGCGACCCTGGAATCAGTACAAACTCTAACAAAAGAATAACAATACATTTCTTAAAGGAGAGTTCTGCCATTTCTTGGTATTCCCCTTTCGTTGAATGTCAATACTCGATAACGTCGGCCATATTTATGCACACAAATGACGTAATGGGGCCCTGAAATAAATTGCGAAATACACAGAATGCCTAATCATTGTCGCAAAGCTAGTTCCATTCAGTAGCAAAACCGCTTAAAATTTGGATGCAACTAGTTGCAAATGATTGCAGGAACGGAGAACATGTGCAACTAACCGCCATTGCTTTTTTTCACAATGGCATCAGAGAGAAAGGTCATACAACTGAAATGAAATGAAATGTGGTTTAACGTCCTACTGTCCTGCTCCGACTGGACTAATGAAGACGGACATACGAACATGTGCTATGAGGGAAATTTTGCCCGGGCAGCGGAGCTACGGCCTACTCTTATACCGAATTCCAACTGCCAAGGGGTATTTTACGTGCACGCCAACTTGTACAACTGTCCTTGTCAGGCTCTTCGCCCTGCGCCACTGACAAGGGGAAACCACGCCGGAAAAATCCCGATGTACTTTCTCGATCAACACCGGGAGCGAACCCGCGACCTCCAGGCTAGCGAGCCAGCTCCTTACTCACTGAGCCACCGTGCCCCCCTTTGTCATAAAACTCTCTTTGTCATACAACTCTCAGTTTCATTCAGTGGCATATAACCCAATCGGCAATCGCACCGGATCACAAAGGCGACATACCCCGACCCCCTTTTAGCATGGGAATCACGTGGCTAAGTGGGTAAGACGCTGGCTCGCTAGCCTGGAGGTCGGTTGTTCGATTCCTGCATTGGCCGAGAAAGTTCATCCAGATTTTCCGGCGTGGTTTCCCCTTGTCAGTGATGCAGGACGGAGGGCCTGACAAGGACAGCTGTCTAGTCGTTCGGATGGGACGAAAAACCGAGGTCCCGTGTACATATTGGCGTGCACGTAAAAGATCCCTTGGCAGTTGGAATTCGCTATAAGAGTAGGCCGTAGTGCCGCTGTTCGGGCAAAATTTCCCTCATAGCACACTGAATGGCGTATGCCCGCCTTCATTAGCCCAGTTTAGGAGCAGAACAGTAGGACGTTAAACCCCATTTCATTTCATTTCATTTCCCTTTCAGCATTTATCGTCCTTATTATCAGTGACTCAAAATGAGACTTTCTGTGGTGTGGCTCTGTCTTGAGGGACGAGGGTTGTTTACATTAACAGTATTACAAAACTTAATAATGACTAATAATATTAATCCAAGACTCGTTTGCCTGTATATTTATTTAAAATGAAGCAATTATCTTAAGATATAGCATCTTGTCTGAAACATCGCGTAGAATATGACATCTGATCTTTTCACAAGAATATAAAAAACAAACTTGTTAAAATATAAAAAACAAAAATTCAGATTGTTATTCTGTATTTCGCAATATCTAAAATCGAAAGTTTACAAATTTCAAAAATATAGATCAGAAAATAAAACGCCATTACCATGTAAACAATAATATGATGAAATGAAATGATGTTAAAGGCCCATCTGTTCTGGTCCGACGAGCATGCTAATGAAGACGGACATACGCCATGCAGTGTGCTATGAGAGAAATTTTGCCTGAACAGCGGCGCTATGGCATATTCTTATGTCGAATTCCAACTGCAAAATGATCTTTTGCGTGTACGCCAATGTGTACACGGAACCTCGGATTTTCGTCTCATCATAACAGACTATACGTTAGCCTCTGCCAGGCCCTGTGTCCTGCTCCACTGACCAGTCGAAACCACGCCGACCCCCCCCCCCCCAATAAGACAAACCTACGGACAAGACAAAACAACAAGAAGAATGTGCTACTATGAAACGGGAATCACCGATTGGTGAAGTCATCCGCGCCATTTTAGAACTATGACGTCAAAGTTCGGCATTCGATGCGCAGTTGTCCAAAGAACAAAAATTCCAAGTTTCACGTAGACCTTACTCAAATAAGCGGAACCTTTAAGCTTTTTTGAATGCGCAGTTGTCCTAAGTACAAAAATGACAAGTTCCATGTAGATCTTACTCAATAAGCGGAGCCTTTAGACTTTTTTGAAGAACGTCGCCGAAGAATAATAAAATTGAGATTTCCAAATTGAGTTTCTGGTTCAAAAATATTATTAAAATCCCATTAACTTGTTTTTGCATGTAAATATTATTATAATGAGAAAACAAAACAACATCGTCATGAGGTAAAATATGGTCGTTATCTAAATATAACCAAACATAATTAATAATCAATATTTTGAAATCCAAAGAAATGACATGTGGTTTATAGACCCCTGGTTGAAATGTCAGTGATAATGGGACATATTAAGGTCATTGTCGGTCACACTCACAGGGGGGGGGGGGTAGATGGCCGAATGGTTAGCACATGCGCACTGTATCATAGGGTCTGTCATTGAGTTGTACGTGACAAGGAGTAGGGTCGCCTATTCAACCTTTTCTCCGGGTCCTCCGGTTTCCTCCCACTGCTAAAGATCCCTACGCCGCAAGCGAATTATTGAAATAAAAAATTGAACCATGTGTTAGTCCCGAAATGACCTAGTTTGTGTCGAGTGGACGTTAAGCCCCATTTCTCTCTCTCTGTCCGTCACACTCACACAAATGTAATTTGTGGGTCAGTTTGTATTTGGTACAAACATATACAACATAGTAAATATCATATATGGTATCGGGAGGGATCGGTTGGGGGGGGGGGCTTTAATATTGGGGCGCCTGACTGACGCCCAGTCAGTCAGTTCCCTCTTTAATACTGGCCCTCTAGCAGAGCTAACTTAGACGGGAATAATAAATTCGGTGTGTCGGTGTGTTAAGGGGAATTTAGCCCGGGCAGCGACGGTTCCTTTCCTCCTATTTTTCACAGAATTCTGTCATGGATTCTTTTGAATGCATGCCAACGTGTACACAGGTGGACCTAAATTTTTCGGCCTATGCGAACGACTGGACACTTTATTTTTTCTTGCCAGGGCATCCATCCTGTACCACTAACGAGGGTATACAAGCCGGAAAATCCCGATAACCTCCGGTCCTACCCGAGACCTATACTGTTTGGTGACCCATCGCGGCCTGTTATTGAAATTCGGGTTTCAAACGATCGCTGGAGAAGCTTACTCTTTTTTTTAGATGACGTGGATGTTTGGGAAATTCAGATAACTAAATTACATGTGGCTCAGCGATTAAGGCGTTGACTCACTCAACAGACGGCCCTGGTTTCGATTCCGGTATTGGTTGATGAATTCCTCGGGAGTTTTCAGCATGAGTTCCCCCCTCTAATTGGTGCAGGATGGAGAGGGGTGCAAGATAGAGCGTCTAGCTTCTCGGGTGGTGTAAAAATTCGAAACCTACTCGTGTGCACATGTACGACCGTTTAGTACAGAAATATGGGATATAAAATCCCGTTTTATTCTGGATTTACAATTTTCAGAAATGAAATGAAATGGGGATTAACGTCCTACTTTTGCTGTTCCAACCGGATTAGTGAAGACCAGCATAGGCCATGTATAGTGCCAAGAGGGAGGAAATTTTCGCCCAGACACCGTCGTTTTTCGTTTTTCTTCCCGACTTCATTAGCCCAATCGATGCATAAAAGTGGGACATTAAACACCATTTGATTTCGGTGTTTCGTCCCATCCTAAAAGAAAAGAAATGAAAAGAAATGAAATGGGGTTTAACGTCCTACTGTTCTGCTCCAAACTGGGCTAATGAATTAAGAGAAAAGATTATGAATGAGATTTGATGACTGTAGATATTACTGTACCTGATCTTTGTGTGCGAGAATTCATCCTTATTCCACTCTAATCCTTACAACACAAGTTTTAGTACTTTATTAATCCTCCCATATCCAAAGATTAACGAATAATAAATCTCGGATATCCAGAAAATGTTCGAGATTAACAAATCAAACATGATTTTATATAATAAATAGTGTGTATTATATATAGAGATATGTGTATATACATGTACAAGCGGGATAAAGACAGTTGTTGTAAGTTGAAACTCGTCATCTGGTCGTGTACACCGTATCATGTCAACTTTAACAGCCAGCCTTCCGATAAAACTATCGATTATCACGAACTCGGCACACGAACAGAATTGCTACTTTAAACAATTTGTGTTTTAATTTTTCTGTTAGGTGTTTTGTTGTCATGTGGTTGTGTTAAATGAGTCGGAGAAACTCCCCGGGTGCATATAGATTTATTTATGCAAGCCGTATGATTCTGTATTATGTCCTATATCAAATCCCCATTCAAAATATCTGTGTGTGAATTTAAAGGAACATGACACGTGGTTTATCATTCTGCTTTTTCGCTCCAACCGGGATAATGAAAACGGACAGGGAATAATTTCCCGGACAGCGGCCTTTCCACCTACTCTTCGTCAAATTACAACTGCCAAGGGTTCTTTTAAGTGGGCGTTTACGTGTACACGAAACATCGGGTTTCCGTTCCATCCGAAAGTCTAGACGTTGATCCTAATTAGGCTCTACGTCCTATACCACTGAAACCTCGATGAAAAATCCTGTGGAACTCTCTTGGCCATCACAGAGAGGGAGTCATGGACCGCTTTGATAGTGTGACAGTGTCATACTCACTAGGCCACTGTGACTTTCGGCTTTAAAGGGATGTTGACAGCCTTGTCCAACTATGTCGACAAGCAGGGCTGTGTTAAGCTTCCATAGGACCCTGTCTAAGAAATAGAGAATAGAGAAAAGGGGTACAGTGGTACATATTTTATTCTAATTTTGGGATCCCTATAATATTGAGGGCCCTGGCTGCAGGCCAGTCAGCTCCCCTCCTAATCCGGTCCTGTCGACAAGTCCTAGCACCATACGTTATCTAATTACCGCTCACGTTCTTGTCTGACCGGAATCAGCGATTCATCGCCGCAAGTTGACAGAGCTCACTGGAAACCAATGGGCTAGAAGCGGTCGAACTTGCTGAACCAGCAACGGGTTCTATACACTTCACTTACACTTCTCCTGTTCTTCTTGGGGCGATACTCTTAAAAACACAGTCCATAAGACTTCGCCAATTTGAGTAGGCTTCGTATGTTTGTTCTTTAAACTATTGCGAATCGATTGACGGAGTTCGAGTTCTGATATTACACCAAAATCCCCGGAACAAAAATCTAACTCATAACGGAAAACGCGTTATTGTATGTGGGATTAACGGGGGAACTGTGCCCAGTCCTTTGGATGGTACGAAAAATATATATCACGTGTAAACACAGTTTGAAGTTGGAGAAGTGTTGGCAGAAATACCGAGATAATTCGTAGGCACCATTTGATGAGGTTTAACGTCCTACGTGCACGCCAATGAGTACATGGGACCTCGGTTTGGGTCATTCCTCGGTGCATACGGACTTGGGTATCTTGCAGCAAGGGGGTGGGGGTAGGTGACCGATAGATCTGTTTGTCATTGAGTCAAGTGGCGTTGTACATGACTAGGAGTAGGGTCGCCTGTCCAATCTCGTGGGTTTTCTCCGCCCCCCCCCCCTCCACACCCACACACGGCTAAGACCCCTACGCGCAAACGAATCGTTGAAATAAAATTGAACCATAATATGTTAGTCCCGAAATGGCCTAGTTTATGTCGAGTGGACGTTAAACCCTATTTCTCTCATATTTAAGAGATAGAGGAATCCCTTGCAAACTGCAATGTTTTGAAAGTTGAATCTCTGAATCAATCTTTTTAAAACGCAGATCCTATTTCAATTCGTTTTTTATAGTTCAAAATTTCGTTTTACTTGTTTCCACAACACTACGATCTGGAAAAGATGTTATATAACACGCATTCTGGTTGAAGTGAGGTATTAGCCAATGAAACGGTCTGTTACGGCGAGTTCACGGAACTGTGGGTAAACCACTAGAAATGTCAACGCTGATTGATTAATTACTGTCTGACGTCAATAGGTCAAAAGCCTCTGGTACGACCCCTGACGCGACCTTCCACTAGAACCGGTCAGATCTTCGTGTAGTGTAGGCCATCGAAAGTATAAAAAAAAACGAAACGAAATAAAGATGTGTATTTTAATCAGATTGTCTCTGAATGGATATCTGTCCAATAATGTTTAAAGATACATTAGTTAAGAGTTTTATAAAGAGTTGTCCATTCTTGCTATAATAATACAAAAATAGATGATAAAAAAAGAAAATGTTAAAAATATCAGTCAAATTGCTTTGTTCTGAACGGAATTGTCATTGTTAGAAGTTTTGACTAGAAATAGCCAACAATTGTGTCTTCACCGTCTATGAGAATTGGCGATCGTTTGATTGACAAACGATAACTTCACCCACATATTCTCGATTATCAAGTAACATGCTCATTATCTATGGTAGTCTCGCTTGGCAGGCTTTTCATCACCAGTTTCCGGTTATGACATCAGCGAGTAACGGTAAACGTTAGCTTGGTCCGCCGATTGATTTAATTTTAAATGGACGAGGCTGTTTAAATCCAAACTGTATCCATGCCTTCCGTGGGTCTAAAGAGTGGATTTTAAGCTTGTCGTGTAAATAAAGATCTAATTAATCATTTCTGTAACATCTGAAGCCTAAATAAAGACTTGCAATAGGCAGATTTAGCTCTTGCATAATGTATCTTTAATTCTGTTCACTATTGCGCCACTTATAATTATGTATAATCTTCGCTAAATCTTTTGAATCCTATTGGATCCGTCAGGAGATTATCTAGCAGTCTTTTAAATTACAGGGGGGTTGGGTGGCCGAATGGTTAGCACGTGCGTGCTGTATCATACGGCCTGCCATTGAGTCAACTGGCGTGGTTTCGAATCCTCGGTTGTACGTGACAAGGAGTAGGGTCGCCTGTCCAACCTCGTGGGTTTTCTCCGGGTCCTCCGATTTCCTCCCACTGCTAAAGACCCCTACGCGCAAGCGAATTATTGAAATAAAATTAAACCATATGTTAGTCCCGAAATGACCTAGTTTGTGTCGAGTGGACGTTAAACCCCATCACTCTCTCCCTCTCTCTCTCTCTCTCTCTCTCTCTTAAATTACATGCAATATAACCTGTGGAAAAATTTGATATTTTCCGAAAAATCCGAATGACACACAGACTTTAAAAGATGCTGCTGGTTTTGTAATTCATGAATTGATATATTGGATTCCTTCTCGTCAACTTTTACTAAGGATGTTAATTTACGCTGATCTATGAGTTCCAGCAGGAAAACAATACACATATACATATTTCTGATGACTTCCACGAATGAAACGTCTCATTATTATTTTTAAACGCCCACGTTTAGATTATATTGCGCCGTCACCAAGCGTGTCCGCTCGTCTGGAAAGAGAGAAAGAGAGAGAGAGAGAGCGAGAGCGAGAGAGACCAGGGGCGTCGTGCAAAAACATTTTTTAGGCCCAACTTTCTGCAAGTGTGTTCATGGTATTTTAAATTTACTGGCTGCCGCAGGCATGAGCATGCAAGGGGGGTACGAGGGGGCCCTCCCCCGGAAAATTTTTAAAATTAGAAGCCGGGAAACGCCATTTCAATGGATTAGAATAAATAAAGTTATGATTGAAAAATGGTCGTTTTTTAGTGATAATTGTAATTTATCACCCGAAAACTGAATTATATTTTATTCATCTCAACTTCGATTAAATTATTGAATGGACATTTCGAACAACTTCATGTATGGTCAAATACGTATTTAGATGTATTTGTAATTTAATAAAAAATACTTTCAGTCTTTATTTTTGACACCCGTATATGGATATTTTATCAAATACAACATACAATCATAAATAGGGATTTACACAACAAGCACAAAATCAACTCTTTAGATCCACGGATGGCTTGGATTCGGCTTGGATTTAAACAGGATTTCATTGATTGATTAATTTTTTTTAAATGGCGTCGTGAGCGGAGATTAACCGTTACGTTGACGTCATACTCCCAGAAATTTTAGATCGAGGCTAAATGATAAGAGTGTACGAAGCGAGGCCGCTGTTGAGCGAGGCCCATGGCGAGGCCTTAACAAATGATATCTAAACAAAAGTTTTATAAACTAAACACAGATAATGGCAAATTATACATTTCCTGTAGACCATGTGGTCTTAATAATATCAATAAAAATATTTTTATTTCCCTGAGAATTTAGGGGGGCCCAGGCCCCCCGGGCCCCAATGGGCACGACGCCACTGAGAGAGTCTACGGCGTAAACTCGCGAGTCCCGGGGAACGTCCTCGGCGAACACCAGGACATCCAGTTTAGCGAGCCAATCGGAGTTGGTCTAGAACGCTGATCAAAGACAATGACTGATTTCAAAGCATTTTTAAATCCAATAATTCTTAAATCAAAACAATAATATCCGTACACGTTTTTGGAATAAGTCATCTTTTCCTTTTGCTTGAACATGACGAAGAAAACTTAATAGGCCACGGCATTTCGTCGCACCCCTCGCGCTTCTAGGTGAAATGAAATGAAATAAAATGGGTATTAATTACATCCCACTGTTCTGTTCCGAATGGACTAATGAAGACGGGAATACGCCATAGAGTGTGCTTTGGTGGACAGTTTGCCTGTACAGCAGCACTACGGCCTATTCTTATTTCTCATTCAAACTGTGAAGGGATATGTTACGTGCACGCCAAAAACTTCGGGGTTTCATCCAAACGACTATACGTTGTGCCTTGCCAGGTCCTCCGTCCTACACCACTGACAAGGGTGAACCACCCCGGAAAACCCCGATGAACTTTCTCGGCCAACACAGGGACCGAAATGAAATGAAATGGAATGGGGTTTTACGTCATACTGTTCTGCTCCTATACTGGGCTAATGAAGACGAGCATACGCCATACAGTGTGCTATGAGGGAAATTTTGCCCGGGCAGCGGCACTATCGCCTACTCTTATATCGAATTCCAACTGCCAAGGGATCTTTTACGTGCATTCCAATGCATA